TAGGTAGGGCAGACCTACTTCGGGGGCTGATCTAAAAAATGATCCTCCTCAATGTTATTTATCCTCATTGCTTTATTAGCCGGTTGTTCCGACATTTCGTTTAGTTTTCGTTTCTGCGCTGGATTGTCGTTAGACTGATTATTCGGGACTACGTTTGCCCTAAAATGCTGGGCTTGGCTATAATTGTTATTATTTCTCCTAAAATAACCGTTAGTATTCTCCCGATAATTTCTATTGTTATTATTTCCCCTGAATTGATTGCTGTTCTGTCGGTTCCGGATTTGTATAGATTCGTCTACCTCCATTGGTTCTGGGGCCTGATTTTGTTGTCTATTACCCAAGAAATAGGGTTGTCCCCAAGACATGTTATTCCTCTGCAAATCCCTTTTTTGGTCGAATGGTGAACTGTTAGTCCTAGGTTGTCGTTGGTTGAATCTTAAGGTATTAAAATTATTATTCCCTGAATTTCTGGGACCGCTGAATTGGTAGGCAAATTGGGCCCGAATGTTATTAGATTGCAATTCCTGTACCTTTGCTAAGGCATTCGGTAAATCTGGGGGATTCAATGAAAATAGGATTTCAGCAATGCCGCCGTTTAGGCCAGTGACAAAAATGCGTAAGGCATTGTCTCTAATTTTTTTATTTGATTCCTTGGTGATCTCACTGTCCTTTCCGTGAGTCATTATTGTCTTATTTATTAACAAGGTCATTTTCTTGTTAACCTCGTTATAGAAATCTATAATTGAAAGGTTCCCTTGTCGGAGAACGCTTAATTCCTGTTCTATTATGTAAATAGGTCTCTTGTCACTGTAAACAAAGTCAAGCCGTGAAAGTATGGCATCAAAATTTAGAACTGTCCCGTGGTTGGTCAGTGCGTCATGTGCTGGTCCTGTTATTTTGTTTCTCAAAATTGTTAATGCAATATAATATTGCTTACTTCCTTTCTTATATAACTTCACTGCAGTTTCTGCAGCTTCCCTCCATCCTACATATTGGTTTAATCCACCATTAAAAATTGGTAGGGATTCTATTACCTTCAATGTGGTGTCGTCTCTTATTGTCTCGTCTATTGTTTCTGCCTGATAATCCGATACCTGATCGGATTTAGTTTCTATTTGCTGTTTTAAATTTACAATTTGCTCTTGTACTTGTGAAATTTGAAGTGCTATCAATTGTTTGACCAGATCTGCTGTGAGATCGGTCCTTGCTTGAGAGTTAATCATTTTTAGTTTTTCAAAATCTAAAGTTAGCTGATCCACTTTTAATTTTTCTTATATGTTAGTTTTTATAATCTTATATATCCTAATTGAACTTATATATTTATTAATACAACTCTTGCTCACGAAATATCCGGTAGGGGTCGTCCTTCTTAGTTTGGCAGATCTTCGAACGGGTCTTCCTTCTTAAATTTCTTTGCTCAGCTGGGTCTTCTGGGGGTCTTCCTTCTTTGGCTTCGCTGATCGTTTCACTTTCTTTGTATTTTGGTTTTGTCGGTTTTGTTGGTTTTGTTTTTTTAAAAACTTTGGGTTTCTTTGGTTTTTTTTGTATTTACGAATTGCCTTGATTAGCTTTTTGTTTTATTTGTATTTTGCGTTGTATTTGTATTTGTATTTGTATTTGTATTTGTATTTGTATTTGTATTTGTTTTTGCACACCCTAAGCTCCGGTTTGTTTCCTTTTTATCTCACTTTTTTTTATCTATATCACACAGTCACTCCGCGTTTTTAATTTTGAAGGATTTATTCCATTAATTAATTGTCCTTCGGGTTTCGGCACGACGCAACACTTTTATCATTCGGTGCTTTTTAGACAACGTCGCCCCACGTTGGGCGCCAATTAAACAACTGCGGTAGCGGATTGTGTTTTTAAAAAGTTTTTATTTTACTTCGAACTTCACTGATATAGATTTAAGTAGAGGGTCACAAAGGAATTCCGGGCCAAGGGATTGCGCGATCTTAATATTTAGCTAGACTTTGCGGTGTCGCTGCTGGATCAAGACTGATTTGAACTTTCTGATCTTTGCATCGTTGATCCCTTTCGGGAATCGTTTTTCTATAAACATTTCAATTGATTTCGCCATCCCGAGTATTGGATTTCGTCATCCAAAGAGAGAACTGTAAAAGGCCTAAAGTGCAGGATCTGCAGAAAGCCGGGAGTGAGATTGTTTATGAGAAGCCGGGTGTGGGCAAACATTGGTTTTCCATTTAGGCGAGTGTCAAAGATTGGGGTTGCGGCGGGGGCGCTTGAGATTGTACATCTTAGAAATCAATTAGGCGGAGGCCCAAGATTGAAATTGTTTTCGTTTTGGAAAGCCAAAGATTGTTTACAACTCGTATAAGAGCTCAATGGAATTGGGTACGTTAACTTATATGTATGTATTTGTGCTATTTTTGAAACTATTTTGGTACTGTGAAATCTTTTGGGGCTTGTGGGGTCTAACACGTCTACACAAACAGTACTAGTACTATGGGGCATGCTGAACGAACAGAGATATGCCATCTTTGCCGGAAATCGTTGCTATGTTGCAGCAGTATGTATTGCTTGCAATCCAACAAGTCATATGCATATTGGAGAATAAAAAAACTATTCCGCACTGCGCACTGCGCTCCGTTCCCATTACGAAAGCACCCTACAGATTGGCCCTATTCTTAGAACGATTCCTCGTTGTATTTAGAAACTTCAGTTGGGAGCGAACAGATACTATACATGCGTATATGTATGCACAAATCTTCTATCCGATTATATGTACACTCGATGTTTACCGTCTGATTGCTACAAGATCTTTCCGAACTAAAAACCGCCGTCAACGCACGACATCGTTCACGCGTGTACTGGCCGATTTCAAAGATATCTTTTCTATCTATGCCCAACACCACGATCCGGCGCCCCAGAGTTCGGCAGTTCAGTTCCGACGCTGATTGTTCGCGAATAGCCGCCCATTCGAGTGCGCTACGATTCCTACGAGCCCTGCACTGGATGGATGGATGGAAGCCTGCGATGCATCATCATCATAACTCCATATATACATACCATTTATAGCACGAGCACTCACAAACTATATTGATAACGATTATCGCACAAAACAAATGACTGAAATGGGATGGTGGGTGGCGTTCGGGTAGTTCCCTTGGAGACTGCAAATCCCCCAACCCGGGGCGGATTACTCAATGAATATAGTCGATGGATGTTGGATGGGACTGTGTGAGCACAGCGATGAATTTTTAGCGAAAGTGCTATTAATGTTTATATTGTAGATGCGCTCTCGATTGCCTCTCTCTCTCTCTCTCTCTCTCTCTATCTCGTCTGTATCCGTAGGAATGAATGACTATTTTTATTAGGCTGCAGCTGCAATTGCTGTTGACGGCGGCACTGGTGGAGGCAACGGCATCCTTTCTACGTGCCGCAACTAGCGCCATGACTAAGAGGAACTGACCATGCCGGCGGGGCGGCAATAGTTACATACGTCTAGAGTGGGAGGTGGGGCTAAAACAGAAGCAAATGCAGAGGCTGAATGCTTTCTTTTTATATGAAAACTTGGACGAATTTCGTTTTGCGCAATACTTGGGCGGGGAGGAGAGGTGTCCGCCGCCACCCAGTGGGTGGGCCGATCGGTCAAGGTTTTGCTTCGGAACGTGACACGCAGCATATGTGTATGCCTGTGTGTGCGTGTGTGGGGACTGTGTTAGCGGTTTTGCCAGTGCATTTGTGTGTTGTTTTTGTCAAAAACAAGTACAATTTGTACGTCCTTCGATTTCGCAAAGATTCCATCGGAATGGGCGTCCATATGCCGAAAAAGTGTCTGCCTACACCGATGCCGCCTCTGTTCGAGTGTTGTATTTTCTATCTGTATGTGTGCCTCACCTCCTTCTTCTTCTGCGGCTCCACTCACCTCAACTACAAGTGTGAAAATACTGCAGTGTTTATGCGGTGTGTGTGTGTGGGGGGGAGGGTGCGGCAATCCGTGCGGCTGTACGGATGTTCCTGGCGTACAATGGTGTCATCCACGGAATACTATCTAAATTTGGTTAAAATGAAACTCGACTCGACATTTTAAAAATTGTTTTTTGTTGTTCGCTCGGCTGCGGCTGCTGTTCAGTGTGACCGCGGATTCATCGATAAGACATACGGTCTGACCCTCAAAAATATACCAAAATATACCGTCTCATTTTCAAAATATACCGTAGATATACTGACGAATTATTCGAGTTCCTCGTTTTTGATATTCCGTCGTGTATTACTAGCTGGATAGAGCCCTCAGCCCTGCCCACATAATTGTATCCCATTGATGAATGAATTTTCCACAAGATATGCTACTTTTAAGTACTCGTTTTATTGTACTGTGTGTATAACACAACGTTTAAGCAAAAAGTTGAGCAAAAAACAGTGACATGTTGCTTACCTGTTGCTTGTCAACCGGAGTATTTTCAAACTTGACTTCTGTTTCATCAACGCAATAGGCAGATGCTAGCAACTTCGCCATAAGAGCAGGAGGTGCTTCAGGGAATATGTATATTGGTGGACGTTCGCTTTTCCATAACCATGTAGAATGCGTTTCAGTGCTGCCATCGGGCTTGACTTCTCTGCTTATTTGTTTTAGTTTCGTTTCCTTGTCCGCGTACTTTGCAAAGGCGGAGAAGGTTACCGGAAAAAGAACTTTCCTATTCTGTCAATGGTCGAGAATTAGCCAAAAATGTGTCATACATGTAGTGGTACTTATACTTACATGGTTTCAGCATGAATAGGCTAAAACTCATAGTCAGACAGGTGACGAAAAACGGGCTTTACGATGCCATTTGCCCGAGATATACATATCTAGCTCTTCCAAGGTTTGGGAGTTGTCCGGAAACGTACCAACATTAATTTGAGTATGCTTAGGTATACATACATACATGGCAATAGAATGATTCCCCGATTTCGAAATTTCACAAGAATCAATGAGCTTTTTAGAACCGATTCCAGTTGGATTCCTTGATTAAAATTAAAAACAGCAAAGTCAGAAAGACTTTGAATGCACTGCATTTAGTTCACATCTAGATACATGGCACTTAAATTAGTATTTGAATATGTTTGTGCTTTCACGATCCGAATGTAGCGAACAGTACGCTCCGTGAAGCGGATTTGCGGACCAAATGAGGTGGATTTTATTCCGACAGTTCCCACACGATCCCAGTGAGTTCGATCGCATGATACCTCCACGTGGCATGAAAAGTCTTTTAAACTACATGCAGTTATTTCAATAGAGTTGATTACGAAGAAGTTGCTCAGCACAAAAAGTTTCTCATTTTGGTTGTCAGTGTTATGGCCGACATTATACTTATGGCTTGCCACATTCTCCCCCGGCAACACGATTATGCGGTAGGGCAGATTCTCTCCAGTGTTCAATTGATCAATGGCATGGAATATTTTGTCCGACTCAAATATGTGCGATGGACGCACCACATGCAGCAGGTCATCGATACTCATAAGGGGGAGACGTACAAGGGAGAGCATCGTCTTGATATCTTCGCTCGGATTATTTTCCTTCCATTTGCATACAGACCGAAAGATTTCCACTTCGGGGGCACAGAAGCTGTCTCGTCGCAGGACTTCCTCAAGTGATTCCTTGGACAGTAGCTGGAAGGATTCTTGTTTTAGTAGGGCGACCACATTGCGATCCATATACTTGAGGCATTCTTTGGTCAGATCGTTCAGATAGCATCGGCGCGCTGCATCCAGGATCACGCACACATTGCTGAGGCTCAGATTATTCTGGAGGTATATGGCTATGACCGTTTCAACGTATTTCAACCCGTAAAGATGGCTCAAATCTAGCACATCGACTATCTGATCCACGTTTAGTGTGGAAATAGGTAGGTTGCCCGAATAAAGGTACTCGAGTATTATCTTGAAAGACTCAGACGTCACCTCCAGCCGAATTTCCCGCTCTTTCGACTCTGCCATGTCCCCGTAGAGCAGGGCGCGGAAGTACTCAGAGCGAGCTGCCAGAATGTTGCGGTGACCCGGCAAACGCTGATCCTCCACCAAGAATATCACGTCCGAGTAGAGCTCGTTCATGCAGAGACGACTCATGTCCGATACGAAGCCGAGGGCATTATTTTCTTCGGTGCTCATTTTCTGGATCTCTGTGTGTGGAATGGGGATATCTATATTAGTATTATTTATGTTCTTAAAAGTTACTTTATTTCGAAAGGCAAGCAATATTTAAATGGTGAATTTTTTTCGTGAACTAATTTTTGCACAAATATCAACTTTTGTTGAACGAATTTTGTAATTATACATTATTTTGTTGATAAAACACCGAACTATTTAAAATACTTTAGGTTCCTTAGTTTTGCAAATCTATTAACTATAAAATAGAAATAATAATGAAAATTAAGCCCGGAAGGGTTCCTAAACCACTTTAAAAATCGCTTTGCACAAATATCAATTTTACTGAGTTAATTGCACTACGATACCAAACGCAATATTTGTTTGAAAATAAGGGACTGTTTTGAAAATTTCATTCGATTCTGCTTAGTCCTCAGCCTGCTGTGAGATCTGAGAAAAAAGAACGGAGTCAGCAAAAGCGTGGTCCGGCTAAGAATGACAATGCATACAATATGCACTTTATCGCTTGTTTTGCTTTTGTTCATAAAATGGTATAGTCATCTGAGTTAGTGGCCGGAGACACGGCATAGCGGAGAAATCTGTATTATGCCCATACCCAGTAATTACTGTACTCTTCACTTGGCTCTGTTTTTGTGTGTGTAGTTCAGCACATGTGCATGCATATGTTCATGTTAAGATTTTTGAGGTTTTCTTTTATTCTGAATATGTGCAGACATTTTCGTCTTCTCTGTTTAAGATCAAGATCAGCTTCTGGCCGATGTTGTTTAGACGGCTCCGCATTTAAAAGCTGGCATTGGTAAAAGTTTAGCTTTCGCTTGCAGGCGCAGTTTATCAGTGCTCTTACCAATTATGACCAGGATAATGCTATTTCTCAAGAAACCCGTATGTTTAATATAAATTAAGTAACACGTTTGGCTGACTTTTATCCACAAATGTTTCCTATTTTAGGCTTTTTTTAATGTTTTTAAAGCCGATCAGATGTTGGCTCCATGCGTATTTGCTAGATTGATCGATAGTGTCGATTGGTACAATATGGGTACTCTTAAATAAAAGTCGCGGGCTCTATTGGAAATTGTAAAAATCATTTTTGTATATAGAAATCGAATCTAAAAAATTCCAGTTATTTCATTATCTTCCAGGAATCATGTAAATTGTTGAATAATTCGCAAGATAGTGACCTAACCGTTTGCGTTTTAAAGAAGTCGACAGTGGAAAGAATAAAATCGATATTACTATGGATTCTTTTGCAGAAAAAAGTTCTAGCTGTATATATATATAAATCCGTTTAGGCTATATTATATCCTAATCGAGATATTTAAACGTCGAAATTGAGTTCAAGGTATATTTACGTTATATCGGTATATAATGGTATATTAAATCAATTTGATATATTCGATTTCATTTTTAAAGGTATATTAAAGAACATAGGGTACAGAAACTTTCACACAAAAGAAATTAGTCTGTTTTAAAGCTGTCGCAACGAAAGTTTGAAACTGGACGCATATGTATATCTCTCTCGCTCTCACACACAAACTTTTACCAAAGGATTGTGTTTGTTTTTGCAGCTAGTCCAGTTTCAAAATCGAATATCAAGGTTATTAGCAAAGTAATGTTATACAGTTATTAAAGGAAATAGGGTATACAAGTGCCATACTCCTTAAATATGTAGTTCATATGTACTAAATATGTAGTTACCGTGTAGTTACCATCTACATAATGGCCATTTTGTTGACCTTTTCTATTTGAACCTTATTTTATAAAACATCAAATATAAACGAACACTTCAAATAAGGCAGTCATATAGAAAATTGATTCATCAGTAAAATTATTTTTTCAGGTCTGAGGGACCTAGCTAGCATGTTAAACCGAATAGTAAAACGATCAGAATGTTTAACCCATTGTAGACCAGTTGGTATTACATTCCAAGAAAATAATTGAACTTGACGAATGTTAGTAAAGTTGAGGTGAAAGATATCGTTTTAACTTTTCTGTAAGTAACGAGGAAGAATATGATGGATCTACAAGAAGAATGTACAAGCAGTACTTTTTTCCCCGGTTTAACTCAAGTAGTTCACCTGTTTCAATAGAGGGGGCTTAAGTGGGCTAAATTCGTTCACTCATTCGAATATTTTATCGTTTAATCCGCGGTCACACTAATATTCTAACTGTATATATATGTATATATATGTATATATATATATATATATATATATGTATTTTTAACGCGCTGGCGACGTAGGGTCGCATATTTATCAAATAAACTGGAGAACGGCGAGCGATCGGCATTCGCAGCTAGCTTAAGCTTGATTGACCAGGAATTTGTTTATAATGTTGGTTGTGACATAGAATTATTTGTGCAGAAACGGCTGAGCAGTGGGTAAGAAACCAATCTAGAATCTTTGCCACGAGAATGTTAGTGCGTGAGTGTGAGTGCGTGCGAACGACTGTGTGTATGTGTGAAGTACTAGCTAGCAGCTGGTGTGGCGCGGCAGCCTCAACAATAAAAACAACAACAACAACAAAAGCTTTGTGTAACCGGGTTTCCACCTAAAAAAAACAACAGGAATTGCAACGCGGAAATATGTAACCAAAAAACAAAACAACAGCAACAAAAGCAACGAGAAGATGCAATGTAGTACGAGTTTTGTGGGCCTTTCGTGCAGATATTACCAGTTTTGCAAATGCCATACAATTTCGAGTTTTCCCAGCTGCCACAGCAACAACACAAACCCCAACAGCAGCAGCACAGCTCTCTTGCAGATTTTCCGCATTGCAGTTGCGTCGACGCCGACGTCGACTGAATGGGGACCGCCTAACACCGTTTCTTGTGCTTTGGCATGCAATACGCGTTTAATAAACAATTAATCGCCATGCAATAAACAACAGACAGTGAAGCGCCGCAACAGCAACAGCATAGATATATGAATATAATATATTACATTACGCCGCTTCGGTCATGTTACGGTATTGCATAATAATTTACAAGTCGCGCTTAGGTTTTTGAGAGCTTGCGTGCTTCTTGACGGGTCTTCTTCTCGGCCCGAAGCAACCTGTTAGCGGATGGTGCTCGCACTCTTTCGAGCGTGTTTGCCTCCCGATATTAGGTATAAAGATGTGTGTGTGTGTAAGTGTGAGTGCCAGAATGTTTCGTAAAGTGAATTCAAGTTGTTGGAGCTCTCTCGCTCCCACATACATGAAATCGATACTGAATTTGCTCTCCTCTCCCATTACACTGGCCCCGTTCTCTTTGTAGTGTGCTGCTCTTTCCACCTGTGGGCAATTATCGCCGCTATCTCATCCATCAAACATGTGAGAACTACAAACACCAGTACGATCTTTTCACATTCTCGGTGGGGCAAGGGCCGCAGCGACGCACTGTGCTTTGTTTTCGCAATCAGCTCCTCGATCCGCACGGCTTTGAGGCGTGAGTAGACTTTTTGTTGCGAAAGACGTAGTGAACTTGAATCTAAGAAATATAATAAATTGACAGACGAAAGCAGCAGCTGAATCAGCCAATCAGGAGTTGGCGGAGCAACGGACATAACGGCAAAGGCAGCAACAGCATCAGCAGTAGTAGTGCGAACAGGAGAAACACCGTAACTGAGCCCTGTAAAATGGGCGTGAAGAAGCATATCAGCGAGACACCTTGTAAGTAACGCTATCCCCATTTTTGGTGGGTGCCGTTTGGGGTATATGTATGCATTTAGCAAGCTGCCAAACTGCTTGCAAATACACAAGAAAATACGAATTGAAGACAAAGCGTAGGCGAACCAAAGCAAAAGCAACAACAAATTAATAAGTATTTTGTCTTTACGCCGACGCAAGGTATACCTTTTAACATATCTAGTACTCCAGTTATGAAATTTACTTGATAATTCCAATAATTAATTACTCGAATTGTATGGTGAAAGATATTAGTTATTTAAAAAATTTCCATTTTACATGTTTTCTTGGGCTCAGAGTATTCAATATTATGTTGCTTCTAACAAAAAAATGCAACTTTGCCTCCAGCTAGGGTATCCCAATTACATATGTATTTAACTAAAAATATCCAAATGCTAGCCAAACGACGTCGAAAACGACGCTGTACGAAGGCAGCGCAGCGGGTCACGCAGCTCATTCAAGGTCGCCCTCTTTCTCAAGTGGATTTTTGGTGCTGTTGCATCATTACAGACGCTCGTTCGGTCGCTCAGCTGAGCGGCTGGCTGCGCACGCTCACTTGTTGCGATGTCTCTCTCTCTCTCTCTCTCTACTATAGTGTTGACATTCACGAAGCTGGGCGCAAACAGCGAGAGAGGGAAAATTGGGTCAACATTAGTGAATTTAGTTTTTAATTTATTTTATGCCAAATTCGTTGCTTCACCTTTGGTTTTTGTGATTGTTTGTTTGCCAACTCTTCTGCTTTCCTCACTCATCCTCTGATTATCTCTTATCTCTCTCTCTCCTCTCCCGCAGTAAGCAAATCGAACTCTGTGGACTTGTATAGACCGCCAGCACTTAGGAAGAACAGCAGCAGCGAAGAGACAGCTGCATCGAACGAAACGCCAGCAGAGACAGCTGCAGGAACAGAAATATCGAATTCTACTTCCAAAGAATCACCGAGCAGGTGGATAATCTCACTTTTATATGTTAGTTGTACAGCCGAACCAATGCATGAGGAAAAAATGTTACTTTGATCATTATATCTGTTAGAGGTTTCACTGTACAATTGACGAAATTCTTTTGTATACTAATCGATTAGCCGTTCATTTTATCGCCTCTGTTTTGGCTTTCTGCTTCTTAGAGAGCAACAGTCCACTCGACGTGAACGCCGCCCCGACCGAGCTGTATATGTGCCAAGGGCACGACGCAGTCAAACTACACCACCGACAACCACAACAACCAGCAGCTCAGCGACAGCGACATCAGCAGCAACTAAAACGACTGCGGCGCCAAGCGCATTACCAGTGGAAGCAGCGCCAGTTGCAGAAGCAAAAGTAAACCCGTCCAAACCAGACGACGGCAACAGTCAGCAGAAGCTCACGAAGAAACCCAAGTCGCATCGGGAGCGTAAGGAACGTAGCAAGAAATTGATATCGGCAACGGAAAAACCCACTGAAACAGAGGCGGAGGCAGCTACGGTGCTTGTGATATCGGGCAGCGGGACTGAAGTGAGAACTGAAAACGAATCGAACCAAGACAGCACCGGCAACTGTGATAAGGAGGTGAGTGTTGCAAGAATGGAGTAGGAGTCATTGCACCGCTAACCATTTCACGTATCCACACACAGATCATGAGCAGCGGCCAGCGTACAAAGCCCGTCAGTGGTAGCAAAGCCAACAGCAATGGAAAACAGCACCCGCCGCCATTGCGAATCGAGGATGTGGCGGCATCCCGGACCAACAATGCAGAGGAAGCTGCCAAATGTGATAATGATGAGCGCGAGCTGCAGCGAGCCTCGAAGGTAAGTCGATCTCCGAGAGTAAAGTCTGAACCCCTCGAATATCTGTCGACGTACTTGTGCAGGAAATCAATCGCAGCAATCGACGCATCATGAAACAAACCTTTGTTTCGGATGTGCTGGAGATACCCGAGAAGATCGAGTTGGTCTCCAAGGCAGCCACTCGGGCAACAGCGACAGCAAAACCACCTGGAGGCAGCACCACCGAAGATGACGATGAGGAAGAAGAGGATGACTGGGAGAATATGTTTGATGAGAGCGGCGACTGTCTGGATCCGAAGATTCTCCAAGAACTGAACGATTCTGTGGGCAAGTGCAAAATAGAGCTGCCCAAGATGGACTACACCGTGAGTAGAGTTAAACCTTTCCCGGAATCCATTTATATTCTGAAACGTGGATTTGGTCCCGCCAGGTGTTTCACATCAAGCAGTCCCTACTAAACGACGAGGAGTTCCCTCACGTGCTGGAGGTGTCCAATTTTCCAGTGGAGTTCAAAACGCCCGACCTGCTCATGCTCTTCTCGCAGTACAAAGGCAGTGGCTTCGATATAAAATGGGTAGATGATACCCACGCTTTGGCTGTGTTTAGCAGTTCCCGCATTGGTGGGTATTTGAAATGCTCTTTTCCCAATTCAAGATTCTATGTAACATTCTATGCAATCCGTCCATTCATTCTCTGCACAGCTGCTGAGGTGTTAACAATGGGACATCCATTTGTGAAATTAAAGCCGCTGGCCGAGGCCACACTCGAATCGCGAGTCAAGGCCAAGAAGGCCGGTGCCGTCTCACTGCAACCATATCGCCAGCGTCCGGAGACATGCACGGCCTTGGCCCGACGTCTAGTATCCGGAGCCTTGGGAGTGAAACTGGCAACAGCGCCGGAGGAGCGTGAGAACGAGAGGCGTGTTCTACGTGAAGCCAAAGGTGGGGTCGCGCGTTAACAAGTGCCCGCCGAATGATGGTCTCATCCAATCTGTGTTTATTCCATTGCAGAACGTAAACTTTTAGCTGCCAAACAGCGCGATGAGGTCTGGGAGAGCTAGGCCAGGGTGCTGAGAAGCACGGTGCATTTTTTCTCACATGCGCAACGCATGCTCCAATCAGCGATAAGAATAACACTGCAACAAATACCAGCAACCAACCAACCATAACTCCCACAAAAAGTTTCTCAATCAAAGGTTTAGCAATATTAGAGTAATATCGACAAGCTCAGCAATAATGTACTTTTAATGATCGCTTTTTGTGCAATTAATGCAGATTTTTGCTCAATTTGTTGTAGTTTGTAGTTTGTGCCCATAACGCATGATGTATCGTCTAGATCTTAAGAGAGATACATACATATATTATATATTTATTGGTCGTAGCAAGTAAAAAATGCATAGAAACATGTGCTCTGTTTTAACTCCAGGCATACACTTTAATTTATAAGCGCAGCAATTTATATAAATATATTTTAATAAAGTTTATATCTTGTAAGTACAATAAAAAATAACTATTCAATTATTTTAATTGCAATTGATGGAATATAGCTACCTACCTACACTGCTTCATACCTATGCACCAACCGAATATACTCTTCTACTGGGTATGAAACCGCAAACATCGACAGTGTTGTAAAGCGTTGCGAACCAGAAGAACAACAAGCCGGCATTCAGTTTGGTTCACAAAACAGAAGAGTTAATTATAGCATTTAAATAGGAAACAGCTGCCTGTTGTGTGTGAGTTTATTGTCAAACAAAATTATTTTTACAGACTACAAAATGTACTGATAAACAGGGAGAGCTGAGTGAATATAGAAGCTGCATGGATATTTTCGCTTTCGTTGCTGCTTCGACTTCGTTTCATTCAATTACACACTGACAACCATAAAATATATTGCCAGCCAGGCCATTGGATTGATAAGCATTGAATTGTGCTTATCATTACGGAAGCGATACCAACAACAAGTGAACGGGTTGCGTTGTATGTGCCGCATTATAGCGAAGAACTAGACTTATTGAAAGACAAATACATCGAAATTTTGACTGCGTGGCCGCGAACTGTGTTGGTGTGAGTGTGTGTGTGTACATGTGCCACGATTTGTGGGTGCGTCCCCTTCTGCTAGCGGGGAGGCGTTGCGTGTCGGTAATAATAGTATCAACCGAAACTAATCAAGCCTACGTGTATTTCATTTCAGAGAAGTTAGCGAGTGCAACATGTACAAGTACTTAGTCGTCCTACTACTGGCCGCTGCTATCGTCCTGGCCGCCAAGCCCGACGATGGCGAATCCTGCTACTCTTTCGCCGGTGGATCTGTGTATCCCGCAGAGGAGCCGAAGGGCGATCACCAGCTGCAGTACACGAAGGCAGTCAGTAAGTGTGGACCGACCTCATATGGCGCTTTTTATGGTACATTCATATTTTCTTTGCTTCCAAAATCAGTTTCGAAGCCAGCTCCTGCATTCGAGGGCACTGCTGTGGTGAACAAGGAGATCGTGAAGCTATCGCTCTCCCAATACCTGGGCAAATACGTAGTCCTGCTCTTCTATCCACTGGACTTGTAAGTAGAACTGGATCAGAACCTATTTGATACACTAAACTCTCCGATGTGTGTTTCCCCAGCACATTTGTGTGTCCCACGGAGATAATTGCCTTCTCGGATCGAATTTCGGAGTTCCGTAAGATCAAGACTGAGGTGATTGCGGCCAGCGTAGACTCCCACTTTACTCATCTGGCCTGGATTAACACGCCACGTAAGGAGGGCGGCCTGGGCGACGTAAAGATCCCGCTACTCTCCGATTTGACGCACAAAATTAGCAAGGACTATGGCGTATATCTGGAGTCGAGTGGCCATGCGCTGCGCGGTCTTTTTATCATTGATCAAGCCGGCGTGCTGCGTCAGATCACGATGAACGATCTGCCTGTGGGCCGGTCGGTGGATGAGACCATACGCCTAGTCCAGGCATTTCAGTACACCGATACCCACGGCGAGGTTTGTCCAGCTGGTTGGCGACCAGGCGCCGATACGGTAAGCATTCATAAATTACCACATAAAACAGTGGATTGACTGGCTATTTGTGTTTGCAGATTGTGCCCGATCCAGAGGAGAAGACCAAGTACTTTGCTAAGAATAACTGAGGGGGGATCAACGAAGGATATATTTTTCATTCCTACTACCCATACCCAAGCCGAAGCTCAGTTACATTCCAAATGTTCACGACTGACCGCAATCGAACAATAGACCCCGCATCGCACGAATCCTCTGTACATATGGCACCGGTCCGCGTTTGTTTTTTGTATAAAACATATTTTGTTTATTTTACAGATTCATACAGCATAACTGAGAGATAAATAAAATGATGAAGTACATAAGTTATATGCAATGCAAGTGATGCAATAAGTAATGTGTGTGTGGCTCTAAACTAACGAAACCATAAATTTTAGAAAAAATTTTTCATATATCTGGAATAATGTTAACAATTCGATTTCCATTATGTTCATATAAAAATATTCGATAATATGTTGTGTGTCAAATTACAAATAGGTTAACCATTTAGTTAGGTACGCAATTGTTGCTGTTATTAAGTATTCCTGCTGTGCTCCGATCCGACCTTTGGGTAGAACAAAGCTATGTCGAGGTATATAGATTGGGGAACCGTGGGGGAACAACTAGGACGTCATAAGGCACTCGTTCTCGTTTTTGTTCGTGTGTGTGTGTTTCAGTGCTACAGATTTTGTGCGATTTAAATGCCAAGCCAGAAAAGGCAACGACTCAGCGGCATTTCAATTAAACATTGTGCGCGAGTACATACGATGTATGTATGCAAATCATTCCAATCCATTCCCTCAGAGGGGAGATTCCATTCACATCCAGTTTCGATTTACGCGGGAGATTCCAAGTTGATCAAAGAGTTGCACGTTCTCATATTCCCAGAAAATGCGGTTGGTTGCGATTAAGTGATGTGTAAAAAAAACCCTAAATGCTATGACGATGCAACACGTCTAACCACTAAGCAGTCGGCAAATATAATGTGTGTGTGTGCGTGTGTGTTTGTCGATACATCGAATTGTGGCATCAGGCTTAGTGCTCGTAGTAGACCACATCCTAGAATGTACAGTATGGAGAGCATAAGACGAGGATAAACCACAGTAACATGACCGAAAGAGTACTTACAATCAGAAAGAGTGCTGCAAATATGAGGGCCTTCATGCGCACATCCAGATTCAGGGGAAACGTGACGCTAAAATAGTCTGCATCGGTGAACAGCTCTCTTCCCAGGCCCGACCACTGTTTGCTTATCTTTCCGATCTCCTCGTTATTGGCGCTCAATACCTACATAGTACAAATTATAATAGGCGTCTGATATTTTATGTTCCGCATTAATCGGGCATTCGCACAGACACACATACAGCATATAGACACTGATACACAAATGCAGTAAATATCTGAATTAATTGACTCTCTTACGTACAGTCAGACATATCGCCATGACGTCATGACGGCCCTGACTGCAGTGGCTGTACCCCGATATTTACATACGTATGTCCATCTAGTATACGTACGCTTATGCTATGTATACACACAGTATGTACTATATATAGTGAGTGTGTGTGTGTGTGAATGTATACCCACTTGTTGGGCGGCGTGCTAACCTTGAAATTGGTATCACTGAAGCACTTGCAGGGGCAGATGGGGCCCTCGATGTGCAAAACAGTATCGCCAAACGAGTTCTTGATGTTGAATTTTGGTCGTAGGAATGTGCAGACCTGCTCCACTGTTCCAATAACCTGTCCCGGCGGCGCCGACACCTCCACAGCGTTCAAGCAGTCAGGGAAGCAGCAAAGCAAATCGCAGCGAAACGGACGGGTTAGGTGCAGTACCTCGTTCTGGAAGTTGTCCAGGATCTTCATCTCGAAGGGCCGCGCTCTGCCCAGCATGTTACGGGTACAGCAGTCGCTCTCCTCGTAAGCGAAATAAACATTCTGTCCCAGCGAATTTTTAATTTTGAAGCGGTTCTTCGTCTCGAAGCCGGTGAGGAGCTCCAGTTTTTCGATTTTCTGTGACACCAGCAATTGATCCAGAGCCGTCAGATATTCGAGTCCTTGGGGACAGTTGGGCATGCCCACGGGTATTGACATCCAGTTCTCTGCAATGGGGCGTAGTTCTTGATTATCTATACGCTATACTATATCCATATGCGTCAAACATTAGCATCAATTGCCGAAAACAGAAAATCAACATTTTTTAACACACGCCCAAACACACAAACGCACAAATCTGTGCATGTATTGCAGCCTACGCATAGTTCATAGAAGAAAATAACGATATACACGCACCAGGTCCAGATGGTATCCTGACAGCATCTGCAGACGTGGGCTGACGCACCACAGTATCGTCCTGAGGAACGTCCTGAGGCACCTCCTTGTACTCTTTCATCTGCATCATTTTCGTCGCTGCTGCAAACAAATTTTTAAGAATTCAGCGCAACCAGTGTGACCGCGGATTTATCGATAAGACGTACTGTTTTCTCCTTAGATATATACCAAAAGTACGTCACAAATTTTAAATATACCGTAAATATACTGACAAATAATTCCATCCTATTCCTCGATTTTGAATTCGGATGAATAGATATGGTGGCGAGAAAATCAATGTGACCGCGGATTTGTAAATGTGATTGTAAGCTTTTTACGTTTTCAGAGATTGGTTTCTGTTTTCTTTTGTGGTCCAGCGTATTTTAATGTATGGGTGCATGGGTATGGGTATTACTGGCCGCTTCTGATATCGTGGGACAAGCGTCTTCAATAAGAGCCAACTCTAAAAATGCTAAAGTACAGGGTATGTGAGCATAGAAACCAAAAATAAAATAGTCCACAAATGCCAGCAACGTAATAATGGTGTACACCAATACATTAAAATCCTCTGGACCCTCAAGAGAAACAGGTAAAAAACGATACACAAATTTCAGTTCTGGCGGCAGGCAATACTAATACAACACGCAAAGTACCCTATAATTAAAATTACATTAAAAAAAAGGGTCAACAAAATATTAAATTTGTACATGGTAACTACCTATTTACAAATCCGTTTTTCCATGAGTATGCAGAATTAAAGCCTTATGACACTAGACTTAGCTAACCTTGATGCGAAGAGAGAAATGGCTTCAGAGAGAAAACCCAAAATTAGTGTTCTTAGCCGTCTCCAGACACGTCTGAAGAAATGAAGCAATATTTGTTATAGTTATTATATTTATTTATATATTTAGTTATATTTTCATGCACACACAGCCAGCCAGCCAGAAAAATTGCATCTGAAAAGTTTAACAATCGATCATTTCTGCCGCAGCGCCGCCACCAGCTTAACTGGAAATCCAAGCTGACGAACTATCTCTCTTTCTCTCTCTCACTGCATGCTTTACCAAATGAGGCTGTTTCTGTTTTTGCTGTTGGTCGATTAGCAAAGTCTATTGTCATATGGCCATTAAACTAAAACAGAAATGAATATGTAAGATATTAATTCCATGTTAAATGTAAAATACATGGGGAGCTACAAGCAGTGCTGCCAGAATTTCAGAGTCAATATAAGCTAGATTCGAAAAATATATCTGCAAAATATGGGTAAAACCGAAAAAATAAGTTAAAAATGACGCATCGAAATATAGCTTAAAGTCTTGAAAAATACACTCAAGTCGGAATTTGAGCTGCGCTCAAACCCAAGAGCGTGATTGCGTTTTGTACGTACTACCACTAACCATACAGTATATAGATGTGCCAGTTCATACAACGAAAGTGTCACACACCGGCTTGCGCTATCCGTACCCCAGAGTGACGTCATCATGAGAGAGAGAGCGCAGAGAGAACATCTTTGCATGTGTTAGTACACACGCAATATGTTTCGACAAAAATATGTGATTGTATGTTTTTTCAGATTTTTTGAACTCTCTCAGGTCTGATCTGTTTTGCCACCAGCATGTTTTAGTGTATGGGTGCACATGCATTCTCACGTACTTTGCGTGTGTGTGTTTACTATTGCTGGCCGCTAGAACTGAAATTTGAGTTTGGTTCTTGTTTCGGGTCTTTTGATGGACTGACCTACCGCCACAAAATAAATGAAGAATGGGCAGGGGGTGGGGGTATGGTACACTAGGGCGCGGGAAACAAAATAAAAGCTGTTATTTGTTTGATTTATACCACAAAATATAAAATATTACAATAATATAATTACACATTTATTTCCTTATTTTAAACAGGTTGATTATAAATTATACAAATTATGCAAACGCCGTCGGTTCTCGACGTTTTGTTTATATCAAAGACTTTACAATACCAAAGACTATACAATACCAAGATGTTGCATGAGCGACCAAAAAGCTGTTCTATGGCGGGTCCTCACATTAGAACCCAAAAGGCACGAGGGAGCGCGCGGGGTTTCAATTCCCTTTTCGCTTGTACTTCGTCTCTACCGCGACCCCGCTGCCCATCGGTTTCGTCTGTTCGGCAATTCTGGACTCTCGAGCCTCAGCACCGTCGAAGCGGTGGTCGCGGATCGCCGATGTCTTTGGAGCGGCACAGTGGGAAAATTCGATTGGAAAATTCTCTATTAGAATTTATCTAAAGCACTCATAAAATTTTTTTACTATTTCGGCTGAGTCCCACTGTGCCGCGCCAAAGTCATCAGCGACCACGCTGCCCTACGGTTTCAGCACGCAGACGATTCATATTTTGTTTTTGTATTCTTTCTCTCGAGACACACCGACTCGACGCTGACCGGGCAGCAGTAATTTTGAAAACCCTCATGCAATATACGAATGTAATAAACTTTAATATTTATGTGCATATGTATGTACATAAGATATTTTATAATTGAATTAGAAAATTTATGGGTATTGTCCATGAGAGTATTCAAGGTGCGACCGGCATCTAAATTTGTACTTTGCAGATTCCCGTCGGAAAGCGCGCGATTGACAATTGATTTGACATATACATATGTAAAACCAATTCCATTTATATTTATGCATATTTATTTAAGTATATATATATATTTTCTTATATTGTATATTTAGATACATCATTGTTTTAGTTATAATAAACAAAAACGTCGAGAACCGACGGCGTTTGAATAATTTGTATAATTTATAATCAACCTGCTTAAAATAAGGAAATAAATGTGTAATTATATTATTGTAATATTTTATATTTTGTGGTATAAATCAAACAAATAACAGCTTTTATTTTGTTTCCCGCGCCCTAGTGTACCATACCCCCACCCCCTGCCCATTCTTCATTTATTTTGTGGCGGTAGGTCAGTCCATCAAAAGACCCGAAACAAGAACCAAACTCAAATTTCAGTTCTAGCGGCCAGCAATAGTAAACACA